TCCTCGTGCCTGCCCACTCTTGAAAGCCATTCCAACCGGGACCTGGGATCAGTGGGAACGGCAGGCCACTTACACGAGTGTGTGACACGTGATTTAGTCGCCTATCATTGTGAGAATCTAAATCAGAAAGCATTCTTGTTTTTCTAGTTAAAATAGCTGTCTCTAGAAATCTTTTGCTGAAGAAAATTTATTTTTGGTTTGATTGGTTTTAATGACATTTCATGCCAAGAAGAATGCTAAGAATAAATACTTTGCTGTCTCCTATTATTTTTTTTCTCAATCAAATTTTAGGGGGAATAARTATAGGAAAAATCTTCGGTGATAAAAAAATCAAGATACCACCATTTGAACAGCATTTGATGAGGATTTCACTTCTGCATACCAGGTAAAGTAGCCTCAAGCAGCACTCAAAGGTAGTATGAATACTCCTATGGTAACGTTAGCCCTCCTGGGGGATTAAATACGAATGATTAATGACATTAATAGACATTTGTATCACTTTTGTTTAACGACATACATTCCATGCATACATATATAAATATTAATTTTGGACTGAATGATAATCGCTCCACACCGTAACAATTAAACAGCTGTAACCTGTCTCATGTGTTAAGTAATGGAGCTGCAGGCAAGCTACATAAACAGATGGTCTTATCCACCCATGCTTAATGCTAAAGACTTTTTAAAAAAGAGGTGTTGACAAATCTGATCAAGAAGGCATAGTTTTAATGCAAATTGGCCAATTTGCAATTTAGATTACTCTAAAACTAATTTGGTCTATAGAAAAAAWTAGGCTGCATTGTAAAACTGAGATGTTACACAGCACATGGATATAGCAGATTCCCCACCAACATAATTATTTACTAATTCTATTCAGCTAACAGAGTCTAATGGAAAAGCAGCTGGATAAGTATTCATATTTATGGGCTTCCTATGACAGTTACTTAATTTACCCATGGTACATGCCAGCTATATCATGAAAAATAATAGACTATCTGAAATAATAGCTCTTCCAATCTCACAGAACAACTATTCAGACAGGAGAGGGTCAGTGAACTCACTGCAAACCGAGATAGAAGGGAAATAAAAACATATTTTAGTACAACTGTGTTACGAAAACTTAATTACAGGCCAAATTTTCATCCGGGCTCTCACCCGGGCACCAGCTGTGTTTCTGCAGACTGGCATCCCATTGAGATGCAGGTAGAGCTTCACGGAATAACCTAAGGATGCTCAGCCCAGACCCATGAGCTTCACTCCAGACCAAACAAACAGTGGACAGGTGATTTTCCTTAGCTCTGTAGTGAACTGTTGATTTAACCTGCTCTCACATGGCTACAAGCAATGGTAAAATATCAGGACTCTCAGCAGGRAAAAGACAGTAAGCAATTTAGATGGCCTTAAACTGCTTTGTATTTGGAGTGCATAGTGCCAGTGTTTGGTTCAGTCCTGCAAGATGCTGAACAGCAGCTCCAAATCCCCATTTTTGCTAATTCTCAAAAAGCTGAGTTCACCACAGCCCTGGGCACGTAATAATTACCTGCTGAACACGTTTGATACTCATCTTTGGCAGCATGTGGCAAGAGCGACAGCAGCACCTCACGGACAYGGCCTGTATCAGGAGGGCATTTACGTGTCTGCAAGCACAGCCCAACAGCGGGTACCAGTAACAGGCACCAGCTGCGCCAGCCAAAGCAATCTTGCCTACCTTACTATGTGCATTACTTCAAAACACAAAACCAAACCTTACTTACTCTACTCTATCCTCTCTCACAAACCAAATGCACACAGAAATGCATGTGTATTATTTCACAATTCCAAGCTGTGTGATCCTGAAACTTACAGAAAGTGTGATGCTTAAAAGGAAGGTGYCCTGAGAAGCAGGTGGGGAAACTCTGTACCAAAAGCAAACCTTTGCTATCATCTATGATTTTGCTACCTAATGTCCTTAAGAAGTGGAATAAAAACAAATAAAGGGTCTTTTCCAGCTTACAGGAATTAGGATTTCCCTAGGTCAAATTTTCTCACAAGTGTCTTGAATATAAATGGAAATCAGTGTAACTTGAAAAGCAACCTAGGGTTTGAAAGCTACTAAACAGGTAAGCCCTAAGGACTACCTTTTAATTATAGCCATAAGTTAGTTTGTTTCTTCTCAGCCATTAATGTGTGTCATCCAAGAGAATACTGTGTTATACAGTGGGCTAACTGAAAATGAGCTAGGACAACCTTCAGAAGCAAACTAAAGATGTTAGCTRAGGTGCAAAACATCTTTACCATTTTAAATTGCACTTGTGCTTTACAAAAAAATGCAGATCGCTCTGATCAGCTGAGTCCTGGATTTAGAGCACAGCAGCAAGACTCCTGTTAGCCCCTCTGAGGTTTAACACATGCACCTTCACCCCACTCCAGGAAACCACCTAAGAACTGCTGGGACACTCCTTTCCCAAAAGGTCAAGGACAGCCGTCGGCCTTAGTTTACAGCTTCCTTGGCACATTCCTTTCCCAAAGGAACTGTAAGTTTGGGCCGGTACACTTCAGGTCACTTTCAACTAAAAGCTGCATCAAACTAAAAAAATCTTTATTTCTATGAAGTGGTTAACAGCTTTTAAAAAGAGGAATGGAGAACTTTTCTGGTTTAGAGTTGTGAGCAATACAAAAATGCCTGAGTTACAAATGGAGGGTAAGAATAAGAGAAGTGTGGGAGGAATATGGAGAGAAAGATGCTGATGCTCTGTGTGTTTTGAAACCTATTGCTTGAAGGAAGATATTAAACTCTAGAGTAGAAGAGACAAAAGCAGACTGACTCTTCATTTGCAAAGCTGAGGACACATCCATTCTTACTGCATTAAGATGAAACTATTCCTGAAAACAAGCAATAAAATATCCTGTTTTATCTATAAAATGGGGTTCTGAAGAAAACAACTGCCAAAAATAAGCATAAGAATGGACTAGAGGCTGTACTGCAGTACTTGTCTTTGAAACTATAATTGCAACATGCAATATTAACAAATCAAACTATCTTTACAGCAGCAGCCTCACAGTAAATACACATTTAAAGAACAGGTGGGAAGACAGACCCGCTTGCCCAGTGCTGAGGAAAAACTTGTTTGTGTCTAATATGTTGGAAAAATTGTTCAAGAGCAGCTCATCCGTGTGTAACTGCAACCCTTGAAGCAGTGCCAAGGTCAGCGAGACCAACAGCAGAGCGATCTGCTGAGTAATTGCTCATTGGCAAGTTAAGGCGCTCAGGGGAAAGGCTTTATCCTACTTTTAAAGGTTTGCTTTACTTTATTGTTTAAAACACAGGCTCTTCCCACCTGGCTGTTCTTCTCATCAGCACGTTTACTGGAARTTCCTCTAACCCTTAACTGCAGCAATTCTCTCTGCAAGTCTGCAGGGAGGCATCTTAGCCCCCAGCCCCTGCTTACACCCCAGAAATCTCATTAGTGATCAAAAAGATCAATTGTGATTTCTGTAAAAACAATTCACAAATCAATCTGACTACTTTATATCTGGCTCCTTCCTACAAAAGGAAACTCTGGCTTCTCCTCCTGGCGCAGGGATGTGGATACCAGATAATACAGCCAGAACAGGCACTCATTGCTGCAGAGTCTCCTCTCRAGAGCTCCAAAACGCGCCAGGTCGTCACCCTGTGCAAGGTGCTCTGGGTGACCCTGTTTGAATGGGGTGGACATTGCACCTCACGAGCTCTGCAGAAGTCCCTACCAACCTCCATCACCCTGCAACTCCCCTTCTCCCTCCATTCAAACAAAACACTTTATTTTGCCCTAGTTGGGTTTTTTTTGACTGTTCAGTGTACCTGTGATTTTGCCATCACTCAGTGGTAGCTCTTATCCTTTGCTTGACCACCTCCTCCATTGTCTACTTGATAGTTTCTCAAAATAAGCATCTTTGAGCACTTATCCAAAAGGCTGCTCACCCTTGGGAGACGTGACCTGTAAATACTGTAGAGCCACTTTGTTATTCTCGGGCTTGTGCAGTGCTCACCACAGACCTCAGCAGAAGTTGATCTGCCCTCACACTCAGGTGACTGCCAGTCCCTTTGCCTGTGCTTCCTACCTCTCCCCATGACAGTTTCTATGAGCATTATGCTGGGACTATAAAGCAGTCTGGACAGGACTCCTCTTCCACATTACAGTCCCACAGTGTCTTGCACCAAGGGGTCCCTGCTTACAAGGGAATTCTTGGCACTACAGCTATATAAAATACATTTTACAGCAGTAACCTTTTGGACAACTCTTCCACTTCTTCCATTTCCTCACTTCCTTTAGCTACATTTCCCATACTGGAAGGGGAGCGTGCAGTAAATGGGACACAGGGAAGGTAAATAACTGAGTAAGAAAAGCTTCACTAAAAGGCTCAGGAGTCCCAAAAGGTTTTCAAACATTAGGACTAACTTAATTACAGCAATATRCAAGCTGTAATAATGATGACCTCTTCTTAATCTGCTGTGTTAGACTGCTGAAATGCTATGCTGTTAGTTATGTAACAGAAATCTGCTGTAATTCTAAAATAAAGAATGATGTTGACAGGAAGATAATGTTTGGCAACTAGATTACATTCTTTGCAAGACGGAGGCAGTATTTGTGTGTGTAGGCAAAATTCACGTTTTTCTGTTTCTTCTCCATACTAGAGGGAAAAAAAAAACAAAAATAAAAACAAAAGAAAGCTTTGTTTCCAAAAGATGGAAAGCTCTCACACAACAACAGAACAGCACACATTGCAGGATATATTTACACTTTAAAATAAGCGCAGCCTCCCCCTCAGCAAAAGGCAGCTGAAGGGGAACGACGGAAAGGGAAATTCTTGCACCTCCTCTCCACAGCAAACCAGCTATGAAGCACTGACGAGCCRCGACCTAACCCTCTCCTTTCTTAAAACACCAATTCCTCTGCCCAGCCTGGCAAGGGCCAGTGCTGCCCTTTGCAGCACGGGCCCTCAGAGCRGCGTTGGGGGCGCGCGGCGGCCGGGGCTCCTACCGATAGTGCAGTGCTCGCCGTTCCAGCCCTGGCTGCACTCGCACTTGCCGTCCTTGCAGGTGCCGTGCTCGGCGCAGCGCGGGTGGCACGCTCTCTGGCTGCACGCGGCGCCCGTCCAGCCGTCCTCGCAGCGGCACGTGCCGCCCATGCAGACGCCGTGCGCGCCGCAGTCCACGGAGCAGATCTCTGCGGGAGACAGGAGGGAACGGGGGGCACACGCGGGGCAGGGAGGACACACGTTAGTCAGCGGCTCCACTCGCAAAAGAGAAGCAGAAAGTAAAAGCAGTGGAGATTATATCAAAGGAAGGCACTGTGACAAGCATGCTTGCGTCGGGTCTACAGAATGCAGGCAGAGAGCTGTCTCTTGGTGCTAGTGCTTACTGAGCTATCCTGCAGACTTACCCAGATCAAGCATCCACAGCCCTTCCATCTCTGAGCTCCGAGCAGTTTTCAAACACATATTTTTATTTCCTACAAGCAACCTTTCATAACTTGGATGATAGGGCACTCAAAGTTATTAAAATTTACAGCCTGGTTTTAGAGACTGAGTGTCCCAGACCTAGGTCGCTGTATGTCGTGAATAAAAATGCAGTATTAAAGGAAGTTCATTATAACAAGGTTTCCCCTCTCCACCCTGCTCCCTGTTTTCTTCCAAAGTAAAAATGTGCCATTTTTGACACATTTTTTCATTAAAAAGAATCAGCCTTAGTGAGGCAAATTAGTACTATGCTGACATACTGACACATCTGTTAAATATAAAAGATGATGCTCTTTCACTTTCAGTAAATTCCTATCACTGACAGCTATGAACAGTCTGGTTTAAATAATAGATTGTTAAAAAAAAATAAAATCAACATACAGCAATTTAACTTGTCATTTACCTATAGTAATAGGTTCTTGTAACTGATAGAATAATTGAAAAATACATTAAGAGCCAAAGACAGTCAGAGACTAAACAACACATGTTAAGTCTCAGAGCTAATACAAGATGATAATTTAGATTGCCAGAGTTTGCATTTACAATTTTAGTTCATTCAGTTAGACTGTAGGAAACGTCATTATTGCTAGAGAATACAATCTAAGAATTTTTGTTTTAGTTCCTTGGAACACAGTTGGTCCTAACCACATGTCAGTTCATTAAAGTTTTAGGGTTTGGTTTCTTGGAACAGATATCAATCAGCACAAGGAATGAATATTGTTATTTTCAACTGCAAAAGAAAGTAGTTGCTCGGTGGAAAAAGAGGGGTTTCAGTTTGTCATGGGGCAGTGTTTCTTTTGCCCCAGTTGGGTGTAATTCTTACCTCCAGGTGCTGTGAAGCATTAAACAGTGTCAAGGAGTCGTGATATTTCCCATAAGAAACTGTCCAGAATGTTTATGGAGCAAGACAGGTGTAGCTTTTCTTTTTCCTTCCTTTCTATAGAGCATCTTATACGTACTTTGAATTAAATTTTTGATGAAGAGATTCAAGACGGTTTGATTATAACTTTAGAGTCACAAGACGTCAACTTAGCTTCAAAAAAGAAAGGTTTATTTCTCTTCAATCTAATCAATTTTTCATTAGGGTGAAGGTGTTTATCAGCTTTTAGCACACTAGCTTTGAGCAAGGTGCGTCAATCTTTGTAATGAACTTATTAATTAGAGTTAATTTAATTGAAGTGGAATTGAAGGGCTAATTAAGGGACAAACTGCTGATGAAGAAAGAGGAAAGCTCTGCTGATTTCAAACCTATAAACCCACTGATGGAAATAATTCATTCTTTTCCTCTTGTAGCAGCCTAACAAAATGTTTATGGGTAAGATTTACTTTTTTGGTGTACTGATTTGAAGGTCATTTTGTACAACTTCATCAAAAGCTCTTTGTGTYATTTTACAAGCTCTTTTGCGAGTTTGACACTACTGAAACTTCTAAAAACATGAGACACGTGATTTTTGTGCATTTCAATGACCAATCATTCCCTGAAACATCAATAAAAGTTGAAGCATAACTGAATCATCCAAACCAGAGTAGAGGACATGGTGTCCAGAAATAGCAAGTTTTTGAGCGTTTGGTTGAGAATTACCAAAGGTATCTCACAACCAGCTATGGTTAGTGCTAAAAATGTTCAGAGGCTTTTTTTTTYCCCCCTCTACTGACCAAATTTAATAGGAGACAACATTTTCTTAACTTTGTTGCTTTCTCTTGAATGTTTGGAGCTCTCTACTACTCTTCCAGTACACACAAATCCTTATCAACTCTGCTGCCAGTTTTCAACTGTTTCTAGTTTTGGTGGAGTTCTATGTTTTAAATTGATGTGCTAGATAGATGGTAAATACAAGTACATATCTTTCACAAAGAAGACTGCACTTGCATGTGACTACCAGGAGTGRCTGACAAACACTGTCAAGTGCATAAATTGTTTTCTGCATACTTCAAACTTGTTATGTATTTTGAACACTTGATTCAATTCATAGCTCATGCTGCAGCCAACTGAAAGACTTCCATGAGCTTGGCAGGTCAAGTCCAAGCTGATGCCTTAAATCAGTGCTATTTAAAGCAGTACTGTTTTAGGCAATGGGAGTGTTTTTCACCCTTACCATTGGAGCAATCTGGACCTGTCCAATTTGGGTCACAGGTGCAGGTACCGCTCTCTTGAAGGTAGGTGCCATGGCCGGAGCACTGATCCGGGCACATCGTCTTCAGGATCTCACAGTTGCCACCCCCCCAGCCTGGGTTACAGTGACACTCGCCGTGGATGCAAACACCGTGGCTGGAACAGGCTGGGTCTAGGCAATCAGCTGGTGGGAGAAGAAAAAGATAAGCTTAAGTCTGCCATCAAACTGAAGAACAAGCACCCACAATAGGTTCTCAAGGCCTCTTCCTGATTAATTYACCTTTTAAAACCCTTGTGAAATAAGGAGCATAGCACTCATCTTAAAAACAAGCCTCAGCAGGTTGATCCTGAGTGATTCAATTATGTTTTATTGAGATGAGTGAGTGAAAGACAGAGCAAACCAAGGTGTCTTGGGGCAACCTCCCTTCTCTAGCTACAAGGCTTAAAAAAGACAAAACAAAAAACAACAACAAAAAATTTAAAGTCTTTATCGTCAATCATGACTACAATTCCCAGTCAATCTTTGCTAGCATGCTGGCAATTTTCTTTGCCAAAGCAAGTCCCTCCACATCACCGTGGCACCGTGAAGTCATTGCAAGTACATAACTGACTCGCGACATCGGAGGCTGCTGCCTAGTTCACCACGGATCTTTCAGGCTTTGCTGATTTTTCTGAAATCAAAGATTCACTTTGAATTTCAGGCGACTGATTCCTGTTCCCTCTAATCACAGTGTAACAATGTTGGATTCCTTGGAACATTTGGTATCAGCTGACCCCATCCACTGCTACTGAGTTTTGACAGCTGTGCAGGACCTCTGACTTGTTTCAGAAATAAATGAGTTGCATACTCTCCATCCTTCTTAATTCACTTTAATGTGCTTTAGATGACGAGATTTAATTTAGCAATTTGACTCAATAAAATGTTACACTTGTAGGGTCAATGGTCTGAAAATTTAATTCCACTGACTTAATTGCATTACTTTGTGTGTGGAGATCAATAAAATCAATTTGATTGAGGAAGAAAATGGTGCCTTTTACTCCCTAAAAAAATAGAATAGAAAATGAACTGCACTTTGCAGCACACTCGAATGAATATTATTATGCACATCTCTAAAATACAAAAATGATGCATCATTTTTCATTACGATACATGGGAATCAGCATTTTCCATGAGGTGGTTGGTAGAAAAGATCCCTAACAAACGCAATACATTAATGATTTATTCTGTTCTGTGAAAGAAAAAAAAAAAATCACTAAGTGTTTCTGTAGTCTAACATGTTTTTTGTTCTCCCTTCTTCGCTGACCTCAGCCAGAAAAAGTAAATAAAAGTACACTGACAAGCAAAAAGATCCCATATAGAGTAATTAAGAATGTTCACATTGCCAAGAGGAAACAAAGTATGAGAGTTCTGTGTAGAGTTTGGTGATACTACTGCTTCCTAAACATGATTATGTTGTAATGATGTAAGATGATTTTAGAAAAACCCTATGTGCCAAACGTATTTCAGCATGCTTATGATTCATGGTTTTATCTTTTAGGGATGAGCAGTAGCGAGCAGCACCCAGGTCCACCAGCACAGGCRGCGGAGGCAGCGCCTGGAAGTGGTGCCGAGCGTGGTACTCACGCACCTTCCTCGCAGTTCTCCCCTTTGTAGCCCGAGTTGCAGGCGCAGGAGCCCATGATGCAGATGCCCCGGCCGCCGCACTGCGGGTCGATGCACTGGGTGGCCGGCACGTCGCACTCGGTGCCCTTCCAGCCGCTGTAGCAGAGGCAGCGCCCCTTGGAGTACTGCCCGTTGCCGCTGCACAGCACGGGGCAGGCCGCTGCCGAGGGAAACGCAGCTGTGAGGAGCGGGACGGCCCTCGCGGCGSGACACCCGCCCATCGCCGCCTCCTTCCCTTCCCGCGGGATTCGGCCCCAAACTGGGGGCATTTACCTCGGGAGCAGTCGGGGCCCAGGAAGCCGGCGAAACAGTGGCACGTCCCAGAAACGCACTCTCCGTTGCCGTGGCAGTTCCGGGGGCACTCCACGACAGACTCTTTAAAAAAGGGGGWAAAAAAGGAATAGAAAAGTAGGGTGATTCCTGGATTCCCACCATGCAAAGTACCTGTCATTTAAACCACTACTAATGTAAATGGCAGCGAGCGCACATTCTCAGAGAAGTGTTCACAGCTGGTTTGTTTGAGGCTCCCAAGAACACAAATAGCTCCCATTTTCTGAAGCTGATGTTGTATCTTAGGCCTTTGCATTCCCCCCAAATAAGCTCCTATTTTAATGATAAAACAATAGGCGTTCTGTGCTCAAAATGGAGCCCTGTGCTGTTTAACAATTACAACCAAAGTAGACTTGTTTCAAGACAGGTTTTACATGGAGGAACAGACCTTGTACTCTAGAATAACTAGTTAAAATATATATTATGTTCTACTCTGAGCAGCAAAATAAATACAATGAAAAGAAAATTTGTGGAAATAAACCCTAGCATTTAATTAAGAAAGCTTGTCCCTGTATTCCTAAAACGAAGGTGAGCAGTGCTGAGTTCTTGGTAGAGGCTTCTGAAGATCACCCCCACTCACCTATAACGATGGTATTAAAGGACACCTGCTCGGCGTTCTTGCCGTCGTTGTAAAAGGCCAAGTGCCAGATGCCCGAATCCAGGTACTGGATGAAGCCGGCCTCGTGCAGGCTCACGGAGCGGGCCTGCCGGCCCGCTCGCTCCGCCTCGAGCAGGTTGCGCTGCTCCCGCGCGATCAGCCGGCTGCCGTCCAGCAGCTCCACGAAGTCGTACTGCCGGGGGGGGACAAGAGAGGAACACGTCACGGCACGAGCATGGCATGGACATGGCCCTGCCGCTGCCGGCTTCCCTGGAATATCCCATTGACACGGTGGCATTTTGACGCAAAGGCCCCTTTCTGGAGCACGGATGCAATAGCAGGGACTAACCCTGGCTCTCRCCATGCTCGGATTTCCAACAGAAAGGGCCCATTAGCACTTGCATTCACCGTGGCAGTTTTTCTGGTGACAAGCTCAGGGCCAGCAATTATATTTCAGGTGTGGGGCAGAAGAAAAGGTCAGCCGTGATTAAACTGCAGTCATGGCCTCCACCTGACCCTCAGGTGAGTGCTCCCTTTCAGCACGCCACACATCTCAGCTGCCAAACACTTTTTTTTTTTTTTTTTTTTTTTTTTGTTTTTTGTTTTTTTTTTTTTTTTTTTAAGCTTTTTTTTTTTTTTTTTTTTTTTTTTTTTTTTTTTTTGGTTTTTATTTATTACACTTCCACAATAAGCATTAAATTGTTTGGTCCTCATGCCAGCTAGTCAGAAGCTCTAAGAGAAAGGAGACCTTTCCCTCCACCTCCTGCAAGGGATACCCAAAGCAGCACATGGAAACAGCTCTGAGAAATCATGAGCTGGGGAAAAAAACACTGTGCTTCAGGTCAATGGAGAGTGTGCAGAGAAGTGTGGTGAGGTGAACAGCCACCTGGGGGCCTGGAAAACACAGCATCCGGGCTGCTATGAGCCCACGACTGCTGGAAACAACCAGCAATCCCAAACCCCAAGATTTTTAAGAGCACCCATGGAGTTAGACCTTCTCCAGGCCTTACACTGATTTATACTAAGCAGGAGTCTGATCGAGCGCTTTTAAAGATTTCTTTTGTACATTTGTCACGTGAAGACCAAGGTGTACAAAGCAAAATCGAGCACTTAYGAAGGTAAAGAAAATTCTTGGTTTTAGTAGAGAGCCTTTGTGCTCCCTGCTCATCCACCCTTTCACTTTTACTCTGGTATGTGTTTACTGTATGAGATGAAGTGCTACACATAAACCCTCAATCCTGCCCCAGTGTTTGAGATCCCTCTCAAATGGAATTACATCAGTGGTCTATTAAGGTAAAGGCCAGCATGTGAAACCACGGATTCACCTAGGCTGGATAACATCAGTTACCGGGACAGGCGAATTGGTGGTTTTATGTCCTTACTTGTGACCTTCAGAAACTGCTCCTTGGACAGAAGAAAACACGACAGCCTCTGCCCCAAACAGGATTTAGGTACTTCTATTCTCTCCTTTAAATTCCACTTGCAAGGCTAAAATTCACTGGCATCATAAGAATGTTCCTCTACAGTAATTGGAATTATCTTTCTACCATTCATAGTAGAAAAGAAATGCATAGTTAAAATTCTTCTATCAACACCTGAGATGCTTTTCCAGATATGCCTGAACAAGCAGAATAGGACTTAACATGATTAGTATGTGCAGAAGGCAGTACCTTGATACGCTGTCACTTTGAATGTACGTGCAACGGCACACGAAAACTAATGCAACTGTTTCAGGAGAGCACAGATTATTCAAAACCACTCAGTGTTCTCATTTGTCAGAGGATTAAATATTTATCTTATTTTGTGAGAGAGAGAAAGAGAGAGAAGAGAGAGAGAGAGAAACCCTTTTTTTTTTYCCTCCTACCAGACATAAGAACACTTCTTCTTGCCTTATTTGCAGCTCTGGTTGTAACAAGTTATTCACAGACATCAGGAAAAACCTTGTAATTTGTATACTGCAGAGGGTCATTTTTTGTAGGAGAGCAATTTCAGACGAAAAACATCTTTTGAAAGGGAGTAAATGATAATGCTACTTAATTGATCTTAAACAGCGCGTGGCTGACAAGCATGGTATTATTAATGATTTTATATTGTTTATTATATTTATAATATAATAGAGGTCTATGTAGGTATCAAAATACTATTTTATATTACATTTTAAGAATGATACAGAGGGCAGTTACTTTTCCATCTGCCCATAGCAAACAACTATAACTAATCCAAACCTCTTTAGGGCTAGGTTTGTATACCTAGGACAAAATAATGGGAAAAACAATTACCTCTGTGAGCAAAAAGCATAGTAATTCTATCTTCCTCCTACGGGGATAAATTAATTACCTTCACATTGCGTCTAAACATTCAGTCTACTCCATTGAGTCTCCTCCATTCAATTTTGCTTTAAACCCAAGTCCTTTGTTATTCTTAAAGTCTCTTTAAATAAACACATTGATTTGCTGGCTGCAATGGAAGTGACATTTTTGGAAAGTGTCACCCAGACTTTGAGGCGGGCATTGATTGGGGTGGCATGGACAGCCACTGTCAATTATTCCGGCTTGGTTTGTATATGATTCCCCAGAAAGACTGAATGATGATTCTTGGGGTGGTCAGCGACGTGCACCGAGCATGGGCTGGCGACCGATCTGGGTGCCGAAAGAGAAACCAAAAATGCAGCCAAATGTTCTGTACCGACCACAACATGTCAAAACATTGCCGACATGCTGCATCCTGATTATTTTGGATTATAGGAAGGGAGGAGAGTTAATATCAGTGATCCTGTTTCAAGGGGGTGCAGCTCTCCGCTGTAGCTACCAAAAGGAGGCTCTCTCAAAACACAGTAAAGAGTATAGCAGGTACAGATGAGCAGTTATACCACGAAACCCCCTGCTACTAATGTCATGGACACTGAAAGCTTCCATGGATTCAAAAGTGACTAGACATATTCCTAGGAAAAAAAAGTAAATCTGTCACAGGTGACAGCACCTTTGTCTCAGAAAGTCCTTCAGCCTCAAAATGCTGGAGGCCAAGAATTTATTCTAGGAAGAGTCTCACATGCTGTTATATTAACCCACATATCTACTAATGGCTGCTATTACTTAGTGACAGACAGCACAGTGGGCTAGATGGGCCTTTGATCAGACCCAGCACGGGCCTTCATGTTCTTCTATCAGGCTCCTGTGTCACTCGGAGCTCTGGGGATCCGCTGTCGCACCCGATGACAGGAGGCAGCGAAGCCAGGAATCATTGCCCGCTATTCCTGGCTTGCCAACAAGACCCGTGTTGGGAGTAGCTAGAAGGCTTCGTCRAGACCATGAAAACCATGAACAAATATATGCTGGCATCTTCTTTCATTAGATGCCCTTTTGATTTAATAGCTTATTTTCTTTATATAAGGTAATTTGGTAAAATACATGATTTACTATGCAGGTTATGACTGTGATTAGGTCTTTCGCTGTTGGAAGAAGGCCTAACTTGTGACAAGATACTCATTTTCCAGGTGCAGGAAACAGAGTTACARAAAGTCCCCAACTGCTCCAACGAACATTACACATTTACACATACACATTTAATTTCAGGCATATAAACCAGACAGGACAGGGTTCAGGCCACAAGGATGTTCCAATAAACCTTGTGCCTTACACATGCCCTTCAAATTCAACAGAGATGCTGTTCAACTTATTAATAAAAGTGAGCATGCTTAATTTTTCAAGTGTCAAATGGCTTGTAAAGAAAAAAATCTAACTATATTGCAGGCAAAAAGAGGACAAGAGAGCCTGACCTGCATCCCAGGAACAATATATCGAAAGAGCCACAGAAASTACAGCTGTAGTAGAAGGATCCTTATGTGCTTCTTTCTATTGTATTACACTTAAACATGAACAAGTTTGACTCTCATCAGCACTTGGACAGTCAGAATGCAACAAAAAGGAAGCTGTGTAATACAGATGCCAGGAAATAGATACAGCTATCTCATTTTATTGAGGTTTGGATAGAGGGGACCCCTATTTCAATCTTTAAGCAAGATAAGGAATCAAGTAAGGATCGTTTTTCATACACTTACAGACTYGCACAGCCTCTCATATAAATGCCGTTCAGATCAGCTTTTTCAATTTTATTCATTCTTGCCACACATGTATTCCCCTTGCTCCTGTTATTACTGTTATCACTGAGATGGCATTTGTATTCCAAGCCCCTATTTCCAATGGCTGATAACTTTCTGAATCAATTTTCTTTGAGTTAGAATTTCTCATGCTTGTTGCCAGCCTAAGGGTGAGTTTTCGTATGTGAGAGTTGTCTAAAGAAAATCCATTTATTCATTTTTATGAGGATCAAATTTTGAAATAAACTCAAGTGCATTTTCAGCATTTAATGAATTGTTTCTAGTTTAATGGAAAGTAAGCTAGAAATTAAAACTAGCATAACAGTTTGCAGTTTCAGTGCTGTGAAATTCCTTTGCTTGACCCTAACTTCTCTCCTTCAGCGTGCAACATAAKTTCAAATCAGTGTGTGACAGCAGATGATAAACAGGTGGCAGAATTAGGAATATTTTCAAGTGTTCTAAATCTTCTACAACTATACCTAAAACAAAGAATGAAATAGCTTCATATAGTGCAACAACATACCAATCAAAATCAAAATATATAGAATTAAATAAAGAAATTGAATGTTGTATCTATCAGTTTACAGTTACAGCTGAGTATTGTGCATARTGGGCTGACTCAGTTCATTCTGCCTATATGATTAGGCTACTATTCTGAGCGCTGAGTTCAGGACAAAAAAAAAACAAACAAAACCCCCCGAAAACCCTTAAAAAAACAGTAAGATGTGGCATAATTATCCAAATAGGGTAAAATGCTATTGCATGAGCTATGAGCTTAATTCCCTTTTGAAGTGGAACAATGGTTAGGAACCACAACTTGGAAAAATACTGAGCTGAAATAAATTTAAACTTGGCTGGTCTTAAATCCTAAAAATAAAATCYAAATACAACTGATCCTAAAATACCATCCCTCCCTTTCTCCTGCCATCCAGACTATTCTTTCTTTTGTACTTTAACGGAAGCCTTTTATATGACTTCAGATAAAAAAGTGTGTCTTTGTTACTATACAAATGCATGATCATATACAATAAAAAGTCTCTTTAGAAACCTTCTAAGGGGTGGAGCAGAATAAATGCCCTGCAATACTTCAGAGAAGAATTTTAAGGCAGTAAGATGTCTAATGAAAACAGACGTTTTTACAAGCCTAGTTCACTGTATCCATACAGACACTTTTTTTTTTAATCTTGCATGTATTTATTTACTAGGACACTAAGCTGTAAATACTGTAGCATTTGCTCACAGAATGAACTGAAATTTCATTTAAAAGTCACTTATTTGGAAATTTGGCAAATACAACCTTTACCACGCATAACTGCAGACACAGCTGACCAGAATATTATAATTAGCTTAAYTTTTTAAAAGATGCCTGTATGTATATCCCAGAAAAAAGGGGAAATAAATAAATTCTGCATGAAGCAACTCTGTTTCTAAAGCATCATCATTGCTCACAGAATTCAGGAYTTCATAATGAAATTCGTAAACGATAAACTCTTCCCCACATTATATATTTCAGATTACATCACTTACAGTAATATAAATGCTTTCTACATTGCACGAAACCCATAAAGTGTAAAAAAAAAATAAAAATCAAGAGTAACAATAAGGGTGAAATCTCGAGAAATAAAAACATGTACAAAAAATATAAGCTCACAGTCTTTCACAGCATTTCCTACTTTTAAAGCTGGTAGGTCTTACCTGAGTATGTGAAGGTGGTAAGCCTTTTCGGCCATATACTCCAATCAGTGCATCCTTCTGAAGAGATATATTGAATTTYAGAAATTGTGGCTGATCAATGAAGAGTTGTGATCTCCAGAAAATTCCAGGAGGAACTTCTTGTATTGCTCTTCGGCCTATATCTAGTTCTCCAGAATCTATAGTGTTGTTTTCTTGTGCAAATCCCCCTACTTTTCCTGACAAGTTAAAATAATAATAGATCAAAAATTAATATTTCTTTCTTGCTCAGTCATTCTTAATATAAACTAGATTCATCTTAGATAAAGATCCCAGGGAATTCACAGATTTATGGAAAAAAAAAACAAAGCAAAGATATCACACAAATATCTACTAAGTAAAAACAATATAACTTCCCTGGACTACAAGCACTAAGAAGAGTGTTTTAGGATCTATTCTTAGTACTCTTTTTAAAGTGGATCATACATCTCACGATAAGTAAGGTTAAGGGAAATGCAATACACAGATTTCAAGAACATTAGACACACAAACATATCCAGCCAAGGGAACTGTTATAAATCGTCGGTTCTCCATGAAATATTAGAGCATCTCTACAATACCAACAATGTCTATATCTCTGGTTCCCTGATTTTTGCAGTTGAGCTCCACAAAAAGGTGGTATTTCCTGTTCTACCGGGTCTATATCTTTAAGCCTATCCCCTCTGCATTTTTTAGCCTCAGCCCCAAGCTTGATACCTTTCCCTTGTCCACACTGTCTCCTCAATAAAATGAATAATAACCTATAACAGTCCGATATTTTCACTCTTTTCTATATTATGAATAGGTACAGGCTATGAGGGCCAACTGTTAGAAACAAGAACATAATGCTGAAGGGAATTAATGGTAATTCATTACAAAGTATTAGCATAATTACTACTTAGTCTTAGCAGCTCAGTGATGTTGCTTTGGAAAAGCCCAGAAGCAGTGAAGATGATGCTAACATGTAAAAGATTTTTTTACTTTTTTTAATAAATGAAGCAGGTCAGAGAGTTTGAGCCGGGGATGGTAAGTCTGCAGGGCACTGCTGTACCCTGGGCTTAGCACAAGTCAGTGGCAGCCTGGAGATGTCTGCAGTGTTCCTGCTTGTACAGCACTCCCAATCTGTCAAAGGCGACCGATCTACCTCAAAGCCCATTAGCACAAAATTGTGCCTTCGTCGTGGTGGTGCCTTCTCCTCGCCAGACTGGATGGAATAGATCTACCAGGACTGAGGCATTAATGAAAGTGGCCTGCACAAATCCAGAGTTACAGTTTGGGATGGCTTAGAGGAGTCATTCACCTCTTTTGAGGCCAAAGGCTCAGGTTGGATGTCCAGGCACCAAGCTATGCTGTGTTGTGGACATCTGCATGCTTGGCAGCTGATGCCAGGGTCAAAGCCTACTTTGATCCAACAGAATTAGCGCCATCAAACTTAGTCTAGATATAAAGATTTTGATAACAATTTGTTTACCAACATGTTCCAAGTTTAGAGCATGCAAACAACACTGCATTTGACCATCTTCCACATCAAGAYGAGCCTCGACTGAAGCCATGTAAAGAAAAACAGAGCTGTAGTCACAGCCAGAGAGTCCACTAGGCTCTTGCCAATTTATTTTCATTTTTTCAGTAGATGGTGTAGGTACGAGGATTGAACTAAGCCCTTCTGAATGTGCTCAGCATGTTCAAGTGATGCTAACTTGCTAAACAACTGACAATATTCTCTTGCTGTCCTGTCTGTTATGATTAAATTCTACACTATTCATCATTTGACGGAACAAACTGACATTGCAAACATTTAGAATACAACAACAAAAAAACAAACAAACAAAAAGATTAAATCTGAAATGCCAAGTGAGGTCACAGATTGATCCTCACGGCTTTTTGTGCATCCATGATGAACAGAAGCTGCTGCTGAATTAAACAGATAGAGCAGCACTACAAAGAGGCCTCCAGTGGGGCTTATATCATCCTCATAGCTATGCCACAATAGCATTGCAGTCACTGGAAATCTCACAACATCATCGATTGATCAATGTTCTGCTTTCAAGAGACAGTGAAATATCTGATCTTGGACAAAGAATTTTTTTATGCATTTCAGGATGAGACTCATCCTTCTCTAATTTTGGACTTAACCTTTCCCAATATTTATATGTTATTCTAGAAGACTGCATTTTTTCAGTTCACTTAAACATTTGTTTCTTACCACATCCTTCAAATTTAAGGCATGTTTTTTCATGCAGTTCACACACTGATCACTCATAATCACTACACAATAAACAAGTGTCTGCTGCATTGATCTGCAATTTCCCCTATTTCTACATTTGAAATGAAAAGCAGAGACCTCTGACTGTGGAAAGATGAGCTGGATAGCTTGAAGGGACCGACCTCATCAAACAAATATTCCACCCGGCTCCATCAAAATTGCCTATCCTTGGGCTTTAAACAATTATCGTTAGGAGAAAATGATCCCATCTCATCTCCTTTATGTCAGCAAATAAGAGGCAGTATTTCCCTTTAACCACACGCCTCTAACATCACACTTGCGCTCTCAAAATCATCACCAGTTTTTGTCCTTTTAAGGACAGGGCTTCATCTATTATTCTCTTTCCACACYGTTTTGCAAAAGGCTTATGAAATATTTTAGAAATTTCATCAGCTCCTTCTTACACTCTAAAATCTTGCAAGATTTTACAAAATCATAGAATGATTATGGCTGGAAAAGACCTTCAAGATCCTCAAGTCCAACAGCCTTATATCAAAATACAAAAATAAGTCACATTCATTATTTCCACAATGATGCAGCTGTCCAAATATGAAAACAATTTCAAAATATCTAACCTCGTGAATATTTTCTTTTCACTATTTCACTATTCTTCCCTTGTCAAATCCTTCTTTCACAACCCTTCCCCAAAAGAAAATAAAAAACCCAAAACATTAATACTGACAGGTAAATAAACTTATTTCATGATTTGTAGCTACAGTGCTGTCGTATTTACTATTTAATTTATAAAATATGATTTTACTCTATTGCATATTAGACAATATATACAATTACCTACTTATGATACAGGTGATACAAAGCATTATAGCTAAATGTGTAAGATAATTTGTTATATTGGCTATTTTTAAGTTCTGCTCTCCTGATGCTAGGGTGAAAAAGATCCTGAACAAAAYCATTATTTATAAAAATATTTAACAATTTATGTAAGAAAAACAATAACACAAAGATATCACTTTAATTACATGAAACAAGCTCTGCCTTGATATTTACAAACATTCTGGAGGTTAATACACAAAATATTGGGTGATGAACTAAATATCTTYAATAAAGAATAAAAATGAATGAATAATCAAAACACAGAAGTGCTTAACCATAACTGCTGTACGGTGTCACAGATAATATTATTTTCCTTCCTTCACAGGCAGCACTAATTAGACTATTAGGTTGCAAGGCTGGATTTACAGACAATCAATAGCACATTCTCCCATTCCACTGCATAACCTTGGATTCACATATTTTCCTGTGAGGCATTTGCTATATACTCCTCTGCAACAACTATGGGCAATAGCTTAGCATTCTTGTTAAATGTTATCGTTATTGCATGCCAAAAGAAATCAAAATTCTCCTTAAAAACACACCTTTTCTGAAGAAAAATCAATAGAACATCTAATTAAGAAGCTATTATACATTTAATTAACATGATCAACATGATAAAACAAAAAGCTCAATACATATCAGGTTCAGTAGATGTTTTTTAATGAAAATAAAAGGGCTAACATCTCAGAAAGCAAGTTAAGTAAGCCTAAAGTGTCCTTTTTCCCAATCTCTTTCTTTCCCCGCCTTTGCATTTGAAAATAAATTTGTTAATTAAGAAAAGGTTATTATAAGGTATTTCTGAATTGCATGTTAATTTTATATCATAAAACCACAGAATCATTGTGGTTGCAAAAGCACTTTAAGAGCATTGAGACCAAATGCTAAGACCATCACGACCCTGCTTGTCAAACCACGTCCGTGAGCACCTCATCCACACGTTCCTTGAACATTGCCAGGGATGGTGACCAGGTCCCCGGGCAGCCTGTTCCAATCCTTAACTCTTTCCATGTAGAAATTCTTCCTAATGTCTGACATGAACCTCTCCTGGTGCAACTTGAGGCGGTCTTCTCTTGTCCTATCCACAGTTATTCTGGAGAAGAGATCAACCCCCGCTGCACTACAGCCTCCTTTCAGGTAGTTGTAGGAGTGGTAAGGTCTCCCCTAARCCTCCTCCAGATTAAATAACTCCAGCTTCTTCAGCCTCTGCTCATGAGGGCTGTGTTGCAGCCCCCTCATCAGCTTCGCTGCCCTTCTGCAGTCTCGCTCCAGCACCTGAACCCAGGATTGGAAGTGCGACCTCACCAACGCTGAGCACAGRGGGACGGTCCCTTTCCTGGTCCTGATGGCTACGCTGGTCCTCATACCAGCCAGGAGGCCCTTGGCCACGKTGGCCCCTGGGCAGACTGCTGCCTCACGTTCAGCTGGCTCTCCACCAATGATCCAACCTGTCCATATTCCTGTGCAGAGCCATCCTGCCCTCAAGCACACCTACTCTTCCTCCCAGCTTGGTGCCATCTGCAAGTTTGCTGAGGGTGCCCTCAATCCCCTCATCCAGACGATTGATAAAGTTATTAGAGGACCAGCCAAAACACCGACCCCTGGGGAACACCGCTCATGATCGGTTTCCAGAGGSATTTAACTCCAGTCACCACCACTCTCTGCGCCCACCCATCCAGCCAGTTTCTCACCCAGTGAAGAGTACATCTGTCTGAGCCATGAGCTGCCAGCTTCTCTGGGAGAAGGCAGTGGAATACACATGACATATAAAATTTTCATTTATCTACACTTATATATGTCATCTGTACATGTCACGTACATCTTATACATATTTATAATAATATATACATACACATTTATATACGACATACAAAATACAGCCAGCAGCCTATGGTACAAGACCAACCGTTAAAATGCAGTGGCTAACCAAATTTTCAAGTTTCTGTTTTTTAAACCTGCCTGTCTCTTCTACATCCTGCTGCTAAAAACTGCTAAAGTGCTCATGCACCTCAAAGAGGTGTTCGTATTTGATTAAGCCTGGTTTATGAAGTGCTTTGGAAAACCTCAGCTGAAATGCCCTATAAAATTCTCTATGTCAACATAAAATACATATTCTCAGGCAGCCCTGAATCACATCTCACTAGGTAAGCAGGGGATATGTTGCCAGCACTTTACTGTTCATACAGAGAGAAGCACTGGGAGGCAAAAACAAATCCACAAAAGAAACAAAAACCTTTGGAAAAGGCATGCTCAGAGATTCAAGCTTCATTTAACAAATAACTTGCATTTAAGGATGATTTAACATGCTTTTCTTGTCAACTTATGATTAGCTGATTCTAGGTAAACCACAGCTGAATTTTTCTCCACAGTTCATATGGATGCATTCTGAAGWTTCCCTTTGCTACTTCATCACTCAAAATAGCTGTACACTTGAATGGCAAATGAGTACCTGGGACCTAAGCCTCAGAGGGAGGCTATGATTTTATGACCAAAGGCGGCCCAGGACCAGTCAAAGTTTAGACTGAAAGCTGTGCTGTGCCTTGTTGATTCTCCCTTTGAGCTTCAGTAATAAGTACAAAAGCTTAGGGGGCCCTCCTCCTTGAATTTCGTATCTACTCATCACACTTCCCTTTCCACTTAACTTTCCCTTTGCAGTTTAAATTGTATATTTTCTAGTCTGCCTGTCCTTCAGCATCGATGTATGCTGATAAATGACCACTGGCTTGGTGGTTAACAGAGGATCAAAATAGCCCTGCTCTATTTTACAGTGTTTATGGACATTAGGAAGGAAATACAAGATTTGATATGATGCTTTTTTCCTCCTATTATATTTAAGGCAAAGTATAACAGGCCAGAAAATGGCAGGATCATCAGCTGTCACTGTATTCATTAACCACGCACCAGCTTCTTCCTGTTCATTCAGAATGAGAAAGAACATGGAAAAGAGAACACCTGAGTGCAAGAAAGACATCAGAGTAACAGAAATTAAAGCAGAAAAGGGATCCTACTGGACAACTTTCATATGCTTAATAAGATGACAGAACAAAGGAACAGCGCTATATCATTTCTCTAACTTGGAGTTGTAATAACTTGAAAATTTTTCAAGATGTCAAGTGCTGGCAGAGGCGTCCTCCTCCTCAGTGGTAAGGAGGTCAGCTGTACCTTGTGAAAAGGAAAATGGATTTTTGCGTAATGAAGCAAATACCGCATTCATCAACCATTTAAATCAAGTTTTCCATTCAAAACCTATTGATTTTAAAGCCTCTGCTAGCTGAAAGTGCTCAGGGTCTTAAAGGTTTGGAAGATCTTAAAGGGCAACATGGAAAAAGGTCGATAAAAAATAATCCTTTTATGTGGTTTGTGTTTTAAAAGCTCCTACAACAAAAATTAATAAAGTTTTTTTTCACTTTATATATTGGTTGGATGATTCAGATGCAACRTTATATGCTAGACATTTTGAGAAAACAACAGAATATATTACATATGACCCATCATGCTGAAGAGAAATTGGGGAAAAAAAAAAAAAAAAAAGCTTTGGGAAAAGAGTTCATGTTACTCTGTTACAGAATCTCAGACTGGTTGAGGTTGGAAGGGACCTCTAGACTTCATCTAGTCCAACCCCCTGCTCAGGCAGGGACACCTAGAGCACATGGAACAGGGTCACATCCAGGTGGGATTTGATGATCTCCAAAGAAAGAGACAGACAAAGATTTTTGCTTGAAAATTGTCCAGAGATAACTGGGACTTCAAAGCTTCATTTTTTATCTGATCTGGTGTAATAAAACAGCTTTTTTTCCCCCAACTTCACGTACATCCCAGCCTGGTGGTTTCTGTGGAGTGGGACCTGGCCACAGCACCACTGGGCAAAGCTGCCCGAGCCAGTCCCAGCCCTTCACCACCTCTGGGCACCCCACAACAGTCGTTAAGTTACTGAGGATTTCAGGAAAAGTGGAGGTTTTGCTTTTTCTTTGGTTTTGTTCAGAGCTTTTTTCCTCCTGGTCAAATACCACATGCGAATTCCTACGAGGAATCCTGGCCAAAGGAYTGGCAGACGGCTTTCCCAAAAATATTGGCATCAGTCCCCAGGGAGAATTCATCACCTCCTTCACCCACAAGGTGGAAGAAACAGTGTGCTCCTTTCCATCTGAAATACAACTTCCATATGGTATCTGCAGGTCTAATTGAAAKCATTACTATTCACAAAAACTCTTCCTTTTCCATTAAATACCCAAACTTTTGAAGGCAAAGTGTTAAAATACAATGATGTAAATAAAACAGAAAGAAAGGAAACACTAAAAAAACAAGAAATGAGATTGGTGTCCGTTTCCCTTACCATTTTCTCCAGCAGGTACTGTTACAGGATGTGTTGGCGCAGTATCAGAATTCACTTTTCCATTCTCAAAWGTATCATTTTCAGTTTGCTGCAGCTGCCAGTTGAGGCCAAACAGATGCATTGCTGGTGGTAAAGGACACAGGTTATTTGACGCTCTTAACCGCAACGACAAGTCACACAAATAATGGCTCTCCACACTTTGCAGGAGAACAGCAAGTCATACATTAAAAAATTAAATTACAGGAGCAAGCACTCACAGACTAATAGTTCAACTTAGCAATGGCACCAAGCAATTACCACGACTGTCCTTTAATGATACAGTGCTTTCGGCGAATGCCACTGACTAACAACTCACCACTCTTACGTTGAGTCTTGCACCAGTCCCAAATCAATGTTTAAAAGGATAGGGCAGTAATGATGTCCTTTTCTCCTTTTTTTTTTCCTCCATTTTTTGGTCCTACTACAGAAATGCATCATTTAAACAAGCTCCTAAATGRCCTACCAAAATAACTGATTTCACCAACCAGCTGATGGATCCTGTTGATTAGCCTTGAAAGGTAAACCAACGATGCAGGAGCAGAGAAGGATGGTGCTGTGGGTGGTTCAGGGCTCGCCTAACACACCAGCACTGCTGTTGGTGGTTGCTCTGCACATCTTTGCCCTGCAGAGCATGGCTAAGACCTGGGGAGGGCTGTGCTGCTGAGGCTCGTGGCCGCTGCGCTACCGATGGCTGGATAACGTGCGGGGATGTTCACCAAGAACATCATGCACCATAAGCTCGTGTATTAGAAACATCAACAGCAAGTTAAAAACCTTTACCTGAGCTAACTATGGGGCCAATCTGCTTGTTTGTATTAGGGGGAACTACTCAGGGAACCTAGGCAACAGCAGGGATTAATGAATGAGTCCTTCAACTAAAGCTTTAGCACAAAAATACATGGAAAAAATACCACCATAAGGCTATGTTGTGATATACAGAGCATAGGCAATTTCCTAGTATCTGTGGTCTGCTCCCTTCACTTCCAAATAGTACGTCATACTAGCAAAAAGCAATTTTATTGTAATTATTCTAACTTCATTTTGGCATAACAAGGGTTTGCTGACTCTGCAACAGCAGTTTCCTACAAAGCTGAAACTCTACAAAAATACACTCAGATTTTTTTCCTGTAATAATGCTTTTTTTCTTTTTTAAACTATCAGTGCAAAGCAGAAGGAACATAATTCACTGCATCTCATTTCTTCTGCTCCTTCTGTTCCCAACACAGATCACTGCCACAGTCAATATTATTCATTCCTTTAACCCTAATGACAAACTGTTCTTCATCCCATCCAGTTTCATCTTTCAGTCTCTCTGCACAGTCCATGGATGGATTCTGCAATCCTTAGGACAAACTAACTCCAGTGGAAGTTTAGTTGGGGAGGTAACAAGCACTGACAAATTAAGACCTTCTCTGCCAGATCTTTGCCTAAAAACCCACCAACAAAAACAAACAAACCAAAACGCAACAAAGTCCTATTACCAAATACTTCAAAGACTGAAACTCTTACTACAGATGAAATATTCTCTTTGTTCCAAGTCTCTGACTCCACTATTACTCTTCTTTTGCAGAACTTAAATTGCCTGTCAAAGCGTGATAATGTAGAATGCTCCTTGACCCTAAAATCTTACTTCTTTTTCCCCCTCTCCCACCTCTTGTTAAACTATAAATTTGACTACTACCATTCTGGAACATTGCCAGGACTCTACCTCAGCTGAAATTCTTATTTATATCTTAACCAGTGCTTCCCATTTGATGATCCCATCCCTTTTAACATATTCCATCAAAAGCCCCAGGGTCAAATTCTACTATCTGTTATACTAGTTCCCTTCACTGGCAGCGATGGAAGATTACAAGTATCTAAATATTTTACGATTCAAACTCAGTACATTTCTTGTCTTTAACTACGGAAGACTAAATCACCTCTCCTAACTTTACTGGCTTCTTATCACTCAATATTTTACAGGGGAAAAAAATAAAGAGAAAAGGAAAAAAGGCAGCATTCATTCTGCCAGGTTCCTCCAGCACTGCATCCTTCTGAACACACGTGCTCGGAATATCATTCCCTGCTCTCTCTGCTGGCGCTATGTACATGCCCCACACCTCTGCATGTTCCCCTGGGAGGCCAGGGAGGGAAGCTCTGACACAACCTTTTAGCCATTCCCTCATAATTCAAAACAGCTGGAATCTGCAGCCTTCGAAGGCAAGGGGCACGGGATCTGCACTGATGGCATCTCCAAGAGCCACAGTGACCACGACGAGGCGAGTGACAATTACCCTTCCTTTGTCCTCATGCCAATGCGGGTCCCACTGCAGTCGCCTGTCCGAGGGGAGAGCAAACAGTCATACCCCTGGAAGATGCTCTCTCGAATTTGGCTTTGTATTAGCTGCCAAGTTCAATAAGCAATGTTTAATAGAAATGAACAGGCTGATGCACCGAGCAGTTTCACAGATTTGAATACTGGATTGGTTTTGAAGCAGGCCAAAGACGGTGCTTTACAATTCTAATGACAATGCAAATCTTACAGTGTGTGCTGATACACTAAATAATTCAACTAAGTAATCTCTTTGAGGCAGCATTATGGAATTTAAAGAATTCTCATTTCACTACAAACATGAGGACACAACATGAAAGGCTTAGGCCTGTTCATACAGGATCAAAATACAAAGCCCAATTTCTTGGGAGACGTGGAGCGTAACTTTAAGAGCATGGGTAAATTGACTGATTAGCTTAAGAGAAATTCTGGCATTATTTTGTCAATGTGAAGCTCATGCTTCCCAGTTTCAGATTAGAGCTGTCCTCTGCTCAGCCCATCATCTAACCAAGGCAAACATTAAACTCTCCTTGGTGTTTGGAGGACACTGAGTTACCTATTAAAAACTGTTGATGTCCCAGTGAGTCTGATTTTGCACCAGCAATGGTTCAGACCAACCATATGCTGAAAGTCTAGGTGCTTCAACTCCAAAGTTACAAACTAGTTCTGAATTGGCAGAGATAGAAAGGTGCAAGGAAATACTTTGCTGACTCTGGTGGTGTATATGCCAGTTTGGCTTCCTCGGGACTAGGAAAGCAGGAAGACTTTCTTCTGTCTTTAGAATGGGGATATGACAGTTGAATCTCTTCTCTGTTTTTGAGGAATTCTTTCTAGCATGTGCAAAGAAATATTCACTTCTTATTTTTGCAAATAATTTAATAATTGAACCAAAATTAAATTAGGACTGTGGTTTGCATTTGTCAGCTACTATCATCACCCTAAATCTAATGTAAGGCATTATTTGGTTTTGGATTTGATGCTGACTGCCATGTCTGGTCTATTCCCATCAGTTTATCATTTTTTGGTGTTAAATAATGACAATGAAGATWCCAGACCCTTCCTAAAATAACTGCTCCCGAGTCTTTAATTAGGCTGTGGAACAGAGGAGGGCACTGACAGCAGAGTAATGTCCAGGGCCAGCAGAGCCTGTGGTGCTGGGCCTTGCTGGGAGCCCTGCTTGGCTCCAGCTGGGAGGCTCCCAGCCCATAACGGTTATGTCACTGACACAAGCACTGTCCTTCCACACAACCCACAGCTGCAGCAAGGGGTGAACTCGCCGGGGACGGAAGCAAAGACGGGTCCTCACAACTCGAAACGTGCCCACAAACCCCTTCTTGCACCAAGACTGGTGAGGTTGCTCCCAGCAGGGAGACATTTTAATCACAGAAGTGGATGATGACACCGGCCTATTGAAAAGCTCCAAAGCTCTGAGGAAAGACAAGCATTTATACCCACAACAACATCAACATGAACACAGAATGGCTATCGTTTGTCACAGGCTATCAAGTAATCTTAACATCTACCACCATCCACTTCACTCTGTCTGATCACCTGAAACTACTTTTAAAAAGTTTGGTTGACCTTACCTATTATTCTCTCTGCAATGAAAGGTTAGGTATTCTAGTTTTTAATTAGATTAGAACTTCTTCCTTCCTACTCAATAATCAAAACAGCAACTAAGTATACATTTCACCACGCTTAAAAAAATAAATTGTATCTAGTTCACACTTTATAAAACATTTTACAATACGCTGCTTCAGGAAAAATAAGTTGCAGCTTATTAGGCCCTCTCATTCCTTTAACGCTGCCAGCCCATTTGTCCTGTATGCTCATTTCTCGAGCTGTTATTTCTGCACTTTATGCATTCTCTTTGTAARAAAGTTGTTCTTGAGCAAATACAGTGTATTATCACTTCAAAACCCTCTTCAAGACTTTCTTCACTAAGCCGAAAAGAAACTATTCCTTTTATTAGTAGGTGGTACGAGAGRTGGATAATTTATGTAACTACGTGACAGAACGAGCATTGTGAGAGTTAACAATTATCTGCTGCCTTCTGCCTGGATAGAGCTTTCCCTTCGCTATCCTGCTAACGCCTTGAAAGACCTCTCCTGCCCAAGTTAAAAGAGATTCTTACAAAGAATTGGAACAGAAAACCAATTTCCGGAGCTGCTTTCCCACTCAGCAAATCCTGGGCTTGACTGGGTTTGTCTCCTCATCCATACAAACGGTAAGAGGAGGGAGTAGCTCAGACAAGGAATTAGACAGATATAGCACCCGCCGGGGTCCGGAACGTAGCAGTCATCAGGTGCAAGTAGGAATATCTAAACAGAAAACAGACTCTGCACGTAGCTGTGAGCATGTACGGAGATGATTATTGGTATCAGGAGAAAGGAAGGACATTTTCTCCCTTTGCAGGAAAGAGCAGCAAACGCAGCGAGAAGGAAAAACSGAGCAGCCTGTTTATTGTTCAGGGCAACACTCCAGCGACCTCTGCATCGCTGCTCAGCAGGATCCACCGCATCTCTTTTGAAGTACTCTAAGTGACAGAAAGGTTCAGCTGAAAAACAAAGTGTGTGGCAAATACCCGATGAGCTATGCAAGCGAAGGCACGAAGCATGCAGCTGGTAATGATGAGCTTGCAAAACCGCACGCGCCTCAGAGAGGCATTATTTTATAAAGCAGCCAGAGAGGAACAGGACGGGGAGCCACGGTACAAGCCTGAAATCTCCAAAGGAAATGTCAGCACAGGCCAGAAGTACCGGTAATTCAA